ACATGTACACACATACACTGCTGATATGTATTGTCATTCATACTCATAGTTTGTACTGACCTGGAGAGAAGCAAAGCTAGCCTTATTTTATTTATTGTTATTCTGTTTCGTACAGATAAAAACTTTCATAAAATTTTGTTTGCAGTTATTATTATTATTATTATTATGTTCTGTTCAATTTGTGGATTTTCCCACTTTTCTCATGGTAGCTAGGACTTCCATATTTCCTAGACTCAATTAGTTGTGTCTGTCTAATGTTAGCTTTAGGGCTATACGTGCATAATCAAAAGGGGGGGTAGTAACTATGAAAATTCTGAGTTTGATTTTGTAAATTTGATCATTTTAGTTCCTGCTGAAGATTTATCAGTAAAATGAGACACCCATATTAGTTTTGTCATAATCATCTATACTAGAAATAAATCTCACTAATATTCATGCTATTGGCATTTGTTTTCGTTGCAAATTCCCACCAGCCTATATATATATATATATACACAAACATCTCACAATACAATGTGTCGTAATAGTTTCACTTTAAGTTTACTTACTGATTTATGTATGTGTGTGTGTGTGTGTGTACTTAAGAATGATTATGCCAACGTTTCAAACGTCATGCCTATTTTAAAAATAAATCTTACTTGCTGTAAAAGCTGTAATTACACATAACCATTCATGCTCCATAAAAATTTACATGCAGCTTGTCCATGGTAGAAAGTTAAGCAACTACAACAGCTTTATTAGCCAAATTTAAAAGTGAACTTTTTCTATTGTTTTCAGCCCCTTTTGGTGGATTGTACCAACATTTCTCTTGTACAAAGTAAAATCTTTTTTAAACAAAAAATGGACCAAAAGATATTTTTGTTGAAGTTCAAATTTTCAAGTTCGTAGTTAGGGAATTGAGACGATTTGGGTCGAGGATCGGAGTCAACATTATGTGTGTAGTGTGGGCATGGATGAGTGTATGGCAGAATACAATGCTGTTTTGAGTAAGTGTCTGTTTCAAGGCGCTAGTCATCCATCAGACAACATGGGGGTTTAAGTTGGATGATGGACGACCATTGAAATCAAGCCCTAAAGAGGATCAAGAAGCATGATAAAAAGCAAAAAATCTAAAGCTAGAGCAGAAGAATAAAAAGAACATAATTAGTGAACTCCAGCATCTTCTAATGAAGAAATCTCAAAGTTTTCAATTTGAAATTCAAATTTTGAAAATCTAAACACCTGCAAATTTTGTGAATTAAGATCAGGAGAGCACCAGAGGAATGGGTGGTTTGTGATATGTGTTCAGTTGTATCATTATGCATGTACTAACACAGAATTTTGTTTACAAATAATGGACAACAATGATATTTGTCACTTCCAGTTTAATAGAGACATGCAAGCATTAGCAGTAAATTCTTCCCATCTAAGACCACAAATTTTATCTGTAATCAATTTTAAATAAATATTGTATGTGCTGAAAATTAACTTAAACTAAGTGTTGTTAAACAAGTTCAAATATTGCTCATTTCATTATTTCTACTGAAAAATTAAATTATTTTGACTTTGACTTGCGATACTTTGCCAAGTATACTTTTTTAATAAATTAAAAACAACTTAATCAATAATGTGTTTATGGGCACACAAAAATTACATAAAATTTATAAACTTCTCTTGTTGGTCGCAAAAAAATGCTTTAATTTTAAATTCAAATGTAATTAACTTAAGCGGTCGAAAACCGACGCGTTAAAATATGGTCGTAAAATTTGTATTACATAATCCATATTAAACATTTAAGTTCTACTTTTTGCAAATCTCTACTATTTGTAAAATTTTTATAAGAGTTGGTAATGCAACTTAGAAGTTGGAGTTTATTTTCCAGAGTAAAAATAAAACTTTCTGTTAAGTGGTCGGAAATGTCCCATATTAACCTATGAGGTACGGGTAAAGTTAGAGATAAGCCTAGCCCTAACTTCAAAGTCTAACGTTATGGTTTGTTTCGTACTCACCTTTGATATTCTTTCAACCAATGCTGCTTTCACACCTGATTTATCAAGACCTCTTTTCTCTAATTCAGCGCGCAGATCAACTACACGTAAATCTGAAAGTTTCTTCTCAAGCACTGAAGAAATTTCATCAGTCGCAGCCATTATCAAAATGCCTAATTTTCATCCAATTCTAAAAATACAAATGGCGCCGTACCTTCCTTCTATACACTCCCCTCTATCATATTCTATGTTTTATGTTGGTATTTGGGAAGCACATGCTCAGTACACATAACACAGAGTTCAACCAATCACAAAGCGTTTCATCATTTTCGTAATATATAATCTGAATCCTGGGGATATAAAGCCAGAAAAACCATCAGATATCGATTAATAGTTTCAAACAATCTCTGAGTACCTTATAAATCCGCTGAGAAAACAATACCGAAACAACAAAAATACAACACAAAAACAAAACCACATGCTCAAATAATAGACATGATCAAAATAAGAAGACAACACATGGATACAAGAGACCCAAGTATTAAAACACAAATATATTTACTAAGAAACAAAGTAAGAAACTAACTTAAACAATTAAAACAAGATAGATGGGATAGTTACTGTTCCAAGGAAAATGATTACATAGATTCAAAGAAATTTTAGACACATTTAAAAAGATTCACAAGTAGTCAAAACACTCACAAATATCCGATCTTACACCACAAAAACAAAATAGCTTTCACAAATAAACAAAAAGCAGAAGCTTTTAAAGAACAATTAAACAAAACATTTAAAACACATCAAGAACTAGACATGAATAAACACTTTTATAAGAAAGTAAAAGAATATGTTCAAAGAAGTCAAGAATTATATACATCAAAATTTCCGACCACTACAATAATCCCCCCATAACAATAATCCCGATCCAGCACAAAAAATCACAAATACATTAACCAAACCCGAATTTCTATTATCCATAAAGCAAACAAACAAACAGAAAACAACAAAGCACTAGGAAAAGGCCAACTACAACCTATATTATTAAAGAAAGATACTCAGAAACTGTTTGATCACCTAACCGCATTATTTAATCTATCCCTAAATTCGGTATACATCCCCGACTCTTGGAAGCAAGCAAATGTAGTGTTGCGTCAGCGAGGTCACGTGACTGGTGTCACGCCACCTTTCTAGAACTGTCCTGTCCCTTCGGGAGTGCTCTAGCATTTGCTAGATTGGGGGTGGTCTGATATATATAAGATGGTGACAACGTGACGGGACAATGTGGGTGGGGAGTGAGTAATTGATCTGCAGTCAGAAAGTATTGTTTAATTGCGTTATAGCGTTTGTTATAGAGCGACTGTTGA